GGGGTTCTGAGGGAAAAGGCAAATACAAATCCAGACCGTGACGCGGGGGTTCTGAGGGAAAAGGCAAATACAAATCCAGACCGTGACGCGGGGGTTCTGAGGGAAAAGGCAAATACAAATCCAGACCGTGACGCGGGGGTTCTGAGGGAAAAGGCAAATACAAATCCAGACCGTGACGCGGGGGTTCTGAGGGAAAAGGCAAATACAAATCCAGACCGTGACGCGGGGGTTCTGAGGGAAAAGGCAAATACAAATCCAGACCGTGACGCGGGGGTTCTGAGGGAAAAGGCAAATACAAATCCAGACCGTGACGCGGGGGTTCTGAGGGAAAAGGCAAATACAAATCCAGACCGTGACGCGGGGGTTCTGAGGGAAAAGGCAAATACAAATCCAGACCGTGACGCGGGGGTTCTGAGGGAAAAGGCAAATACAAATCCAGACCGTGACGCGGGGGTTCTGAGGGAAAAGGCAAATACAAATCCAGACCGTGACGCGGGGGTTCTGAGGGAAAAGGCAAATACAAATCCAGACCGTGACGCGGGGGTTCTGAGGGAAAAGGCAAATACAAATCCAGACCGTGACGCGGGGGTTCTGAGGGAAAAGGCAAATACAAATCCAGACCGTGACGCGGGGGTTCTGAGGGAAAAGGCAAATACAAATCCAGACCGTGACGCGGGGGTTCTGAGGGAAAAGGCAAATACAAATCCAGACCGTGACGCGGGGGTTCTGAGGGAAAAGGCAAATACAAATCCAGACCGTGACGCGGGGGTTCTGAGGGAAAAGGCAAATACAAATCCAGACCGTGACGCGGGGGTTCTGAGGGAAAAGGCAAATACAAATCCAGACCGTGACGCGGGGGTTCTGAGGGAAAAGGCAAATACAAATCCAGACCGTGACGCGGGGGTTCTGAGGGAAAAGGCAAATACAAATCCAGACCGTGACGCGGGGGTTCTGAGGGAAAAGGCAAATACAAATCCAGACCGTGACGCGGGGGTTCTGAGGGAAAAGGCAAATACAAATCCAGACCGTGACGCGGGGGTTCTGAGGGAAAAGGCAAATACAAATCCAGACCGTGACGCGGGGGTTCTGAGGGAAAAGGCAAATACAAATCCAGACCGTGACGCGGGGGTTCTGAGGGAAAAGGCAAATACAAATCCAGACCGTGACGCGGGGGTTGCGAGGGCAAACACAAATACAAATCCAGACCGTGACACGGGGGTTGCGAGGGCAAATGCAAATACAAATCCAGACCGTGACATGGGGGTTCTGAGGGAAAAGGCAAATACAAATCCAGACCGTGACACGGGGGTTGCGAGGGCAAATGCAAATACAAATCCAGACCGTGACATGGGGGTTCTGAGGGAAAAGGCAAATACAAATCCAGACCGTGACACGGGGGTTGCGAGGGCAAACACAAAGACAAATCCAGACCATGACACGGGGGTTGCGAGGGCAAACGCAAATACAAATCCAGACCGTGACACGGGGGTTGCGAGGGCAAACACAAATACAAATCCAGACCGTGACACGGGGGTTGCGAGGGCAAACGCAAATACAAATCCAGACCGTGACACGGGGGTCGGGTTGGGTCTTTTGCGAGGAAGAACGTACTCAGTGTCCTGCAGCAGCTCACAATATTCTGCAGAAGCAAAGTAAAACGCGGAGGAAAAGCCAGCTGGGACATGCTAACAAGGCCTCCGAGGACGAGACGATCACACTATTCCAAGGGGAGGAAGGTTCTAGACAGAGCACTGGCCTGGAAATTAGGAGCTGGCCTGTTGAGGGCAGGACTGGGGCAATGGGACTGTTGCCTCGGGGTCTGGTGATTCTACTGTAGCCACCAGAGCCCTGGGCTCTATAGACTCGCCGCCGGAGCACCGCGCCGCGCTCCGGCCGGCTCTGAGGGCTGGCAGAGGGCAAGGGGAAGGGTAATACGTGTTCCAGACAGCTCTGAGGGACGGCGGGGGGAGGAGCAGCAAGGGGGCCTGGTTGTGCTGAGGGCTGCAGTAGCCCCGCCCCTTCTACTCAAAGCCCCGCCTCTTCCAGGAGTGTGGAACTGCCCCCTCCCTCATTGTCTAGGGGCCCAGCAACCCTGTCCATGCCCCTGCTCAGGAGATCTGGATTCTATTCCTGGCTCTGCACCTGGCATGATTGCGGGTCAATGATGGTGGGGCAGATTCCCTGCTGCCATAGCATCTAAGCCTGTCTCCTCATTCCAATGGGGGTGATGCCAATGTTCACTATTTGCAGAGCTGGCCCTTGCACGTTTTGGCTTCGCTTTTCCGTTCGTAAAGTCAGGTTGGGGCTGTTGTCTTGCCTTGGGACAGCAAATCCAGTCGTGTCTGTGAGGCTCTAGTGCCATGGAAACACCTACAGCTTCAAAAAGGGGTCTCCAATTGTATCTTCATGAGAAGACGCGGTCGATTCCTACCGAGGTGTTCATTAAAGTACAGACGCAGGTAACGCTCGGGCTGGTGAGAGGTGGCAAATGGAAAGCCCTAGAGAAGATGTTCCCCGTCCCCAGCTCAGAGAGCTGCAGTACAAGCTTCCTTCACATCCCCTAGCGTTCCTCAGCTCTAAGTGGGGGACCGTTGCTACGGACTTGGAGGTGCCACCGCTGGGGGTGAGAACAGACGGCAGCCTCCGTCAAGGCTCAGTCCATTGGGGGACTCTGCTAAGGGTTTTGTCTACATGGGCAAATGAATCTGAATCATCACCCCCTTCCCAAACGTTCAGGCCACTTAGCAGGTAATAAAACCCTGGAGAAAGCACTGCACAAGCATGAACGAGTTACTCTAGGACGGCGAAGGGCTTTTGCCTTGGTAGGTGCAGTGAGTCACTCTCAGAACTCGTGGTGTTGTGTCACTGTCCCCATTTTATTGATGGGAAACAGAGGCCTGGCGAGATGAAGCGGGTTGCTCAAGGTCTCAGGCTGTAGGAGATCTGGGAGGAGAATCTGGATTTCCCGCCGCCTCTGTCTGGATTCGCTCCTCCAGGCTTGTGTGTCTACAGAAAGGT